TGCCTGTGTCTGTCGGGAACTTTTTTTTAGCAAATTCAGTGCCTCGGTAGTGTCCAATTAGTTCGTTTCTGTGTGTTTAGCTTGTCCTATGAACATACCCATAATGCATTGGTGTGTTATCTCTCATTCACCAGGCAAATAATAAACCATTTTATCAATCTTCAGAATGCGAAAATGTCGGTGTATAATACTTATAATGAGTGTTACACTGTCAACTTTTGGGGCGATAAGTATCCCCTTTCTGTCTAGAGTAGATAACAAAGACATTAAATCATTTGGGGTCAATTACTAGAGGCTAAAGCCCGACATGTTACAACTTGTAACTTCACTTGCACTATTCTTGAACTGTTATAACGCTATTTTTATCGTTTCATTGGTTTAAACTTCCTTCCATGAAACAGGAATCATATTTGAACTGCACTACTGCCATTCTTACTCTACTAAGTAACTGTTAGCTCTCGCTACTCAACTAACGTAGCCAGTCAAGACTATGTAGGATTAGGTAGACCCTCCATGTTAAGGGATAAAAAAAACGACTTGCTAAGCAAAACCATTTAGGATAAAGCTGCAGCGGAAATAAAGTCGTTTATGCGTCATTAAAAATAGTAACGTTTAGTTCAAGCGCACTGAAGTTACAGTATTGTTGTGCTAAACTAGCTCTGCTAAATTGGATGTTTTCTGTATAAATATTGATTTAAATAAACCATAATCATAATAACAATGAAATGAAACTAGTTTTTAATTTCCAAATCAATCATGCGAGTTAAAAAAAAAAAAAATTTTTGCCGTGTAGCATCCGCGTGAAACTTTTCTCGCAACGCTGTTGCACAACAGTCCCAGCTAAAAAATTCAACGTGTAATAAGGTCTCTATATTACAATTTATTCCTCGTATTAATTTGCTGTTGTCACTAAGTGGCAAGATTCTGATTCTTTATCTAACGGCTGTGTAGCTGTCTAACGACGTGGTGGTAAAGCTTGTCTCTGCATGTTCTTGCTGAGTAGAAGAATTCGTTCTAATCAACAGGAAGTTTAGATTTACGCTAGATACACATTGAGGTATCTTTTAGGTTCCAAGAAAGAGAGAGAGAGAAAGCGGGAATAAAATGGGAGAAAGGAAGGTATTAGTAATTTGAAATAAAGGAAAAATGAAATAAAATCTTGAGAAGTTTAAGAGGAAATGGCAAGGCCGAAGAGGAACCAAATAGAAGAGAAAATTGGACTAATAAGAAAAAAGAAAGTGTGCTTAGTCATGCAACAGCAATATGGAAAGCACAAAAAACAAACCCGACAAATGACAGCTAGACGAATATTTCATCAATGCTAGTGAGCAATATATTGCAATGAGCATCTACCGCATTGAGTTGTGGATTGATACATCAATCGTATCAGTTTTCTGATATTTAAGTCGCTGGCATTAAACATTCTCTAGTTACATCGTGCCATTACAAATCTCAAACCACGGATTCACGCATCATTGACAAACAACCAGAAACATATTAATATTTACTAATAACCTCTGCTAAGATCGATATATTTTAAATCTGTATGCGCAAAACGCGATCAGGTAGTTAAGAAAAGTTAAGGTCTTAGGCAATCATTATTGATAGTGTTATATTACTAACTGTGCATTCCTGCACAGTGGGTCATTTACTGCTCTGTTATTATCTTACAGCTACGAAACAAAACCCAAAAGAACTAAGCAAAACATACAAGTTTTAAGCTCCTAGTTTCTATAAACGATTCTTCTGCTAAAGTACATTTGTTGAGGGAGGCCTGAAGTGAATGTGCTTATGTAGTGTAACTTTAACGGCTTTAATAATGTCATTAACGCACGCTGCAGAAAACTGCAGAGTTTGATTGCATTCTATCAACCCGTGCTCTAACCACTCGATATACAAACCAACCCCAATATATCATATTATTTGTTCATTGTACAAATATATAACAGGTCTAGTAAGCTTACCTTGCAGTGAGACGGTCGTGATTTAGCTGTTTCCCTCGCTAAGAAATGTAATATTCGCTATCAGACTTTGGATTTATATGCGACCCAGGCGCGCTGGTCTGCTATTGGCTGACGATATCACTCAAGCATCTCGGATATTTCCAGTTGTTTTCATTTGATACTACAGACTGACATTCCATTGGACATTGGTTTGTCAGTAACCCGTGATAAGCCCTTTGCGTTCTTGACTGACGATCTTACAATATGCTGACATATTATAGTATTCTCGTCGTACGGTCTTGATTCAGCTGATTTTTGAAATCGTAAAAATAATGTTTTCTGTACTTTAAAGTTCAGGGAGTTTTTGATAAGGGATCCCAAAAATGCTTTATCACAAAGATTTGCATTATTTCCTTTATTAAAATAATAGAAAATACCGCTTATAAATCGCCACCAAATGGGGAAAAAATACATACTTCTTATACATTTACTATATGGGAAATCATCTAGTAAGCACGTGACACACCCAGTGAACACTTACAAGATAACAGTTACAATAGGCTTATATCTTTATTGACACGCAATTCCTGGTCAAAGTAAGTCCAGAGCGTCCAGGGAAAACCGATAGATTTTTTTTTTTAAACTTGGACACTCTGATTTTTTTTGGCTTCTGTTTCGGCTACAATTTTTTCTAATTTGTCTTGATTACCGAGTTTCCGATCGTGGGACAGTCCTGCAACTCTTTGGAGGATACGTGCACGACAGAATGGGATTAAAGGGTGTCCAGAATGAGGCCTATCACATGAGTGGTATTCAATACTGACATCAAAATGGCTTGACAAAAGCGCTAAGCAAACCTTACACAACAGTTTACATGTAATGCTCTTAACTGAAAACCTGCCAAGGATTTTGTTCTTTTGTCTAGACTCAATTCACGTCACGTACTTCGGTGGATCTTAAGAGAGAATTTTTTTGGTATTCGTATTTCTTGAAGAAAGGCTGTCGTACAAGGCTAAAATCTTGTTATTCAGAAAGTTTAACTCGTTTGGAAGTGGAGATGACCGATGAAAGTGGAATCAAAGTGTTAACCCAAAGCAAACATTTTATTCGAAAACGAGGTTTAGGCCTTCATTTGCTTATTTCCCATATATTTTCTATAAAAAAAGCCTGACAAAGCAACATTCTAACACAAATCCAACAAAACATCTTTGTACAATTGAAAATACCGCTTCAAACAAGCATTTTATCATAGTACATCAGTTTCTAACTGTTTAAGAAAGGTTTTGAGTGTTAACCCAAAAAGAAAACTGGGATCAAGACTCATACGGAAGTCTAGTTTTTGGCGCTTTTTGCCATTATTGCTCATTATTTCCTCTTAACATGCTAAGAGCCTGGCATGCTAAACAAGATCATGCCATGGAAATGCAAACTGAAGTCAGTCATCAAGCCAACTCGATGATGTAATAAAATGTAGTGCGTTGGTACGTGTCTATAAGAAACCAACCAACGCATTGAGCGATGTGAAGGAAGCATCATCAAGGTGTCTGTAATACCCTGACGAATAGTCTGCGATCACCGGCAGGAATAATAATAAAATCTGACCTGATTTTCTTCACGAGAATATAATCTTCAATAATTAAGGCTTGCACTTATTTTCTTGCTTTTAAATTGTTTACCTACAGATTCTAGTTATTATTAGATTCTATTCTTATCCCTCTACCCGTAAAAAGCGTTGCGGTTTCCAAGTCCCATGACATATTTATCATATGACAATAAAACCCAACCAGAATCGTAGTGAAACTAAATCAGTATGGTATGCGATGATGTAATGAAGGCGTATCTCGTCAAGTAGCCACATGATCGTTGTTTCGCCCAACCAGGGTCACACGCGCTGCAGGTCGACAGTCTCTCGACTAGCAACAATCTGGTCTGTGCGTCTCGGAGAGGTCGATCGACTAGGAGCAAGTCTATGTCGCGTTCTGCACCGCCTTTAGTTGCATAGCGGTCACTCACTTTAAATAAAAGTTTGATTCTAAATGATTTTTGTGGACAAACGCGCATGGACTACCCTGCTAAGAAGTCTGGTTTTTAATTTTAGAGATCGGATTGTTCAGATTGTAGCATTCTCGACTTTCACATCCCCATAATCCTTTGCGTCTTTGGGGGGTAACCAGAGGGTAAAAACTCACTTATTTTGCTGAAGGCTGATCAGACAATGTTGAAAATACCTTGTTTGGTATCCATAGATAAAATGAAGAAGTAAAAAACAGAAAAAGATAGAAGCTTGAAGACGTTTAAGGTAAATTCTAAACATTGTTTCGTAAGTCAATACATTTTCTGTAAGACCAAAACTCTTGATGATCTGTACACGCAAAAATAACTTGGAATAAACTGATAATCAGTATTGTACAGATAAAAGCAGGTATAGTATAAATTCAATTAAGAAACTTTTCAATTTGGGACAGTATTTTGATTGGTTACCCCCCAAAAACGCAAGGCATTATGGGGATGTGAAAGTCGAGAATACACTTAACATACAGATTGTTCTTATTGATTGATTAATGTAGGACCATACTTCCAGACATCGAGTGCTGAACCGTCGTATGGCAGCGCGAAGCATTTAC